AATTCTGCTGCAGGACCACATTGAAAGGGGAAATATTGATTTCGGGTCTTTGAAGTTCCGTGTTCTTGATGAAGTCGATGAAATGTTAAAAATTGGTTTTGTAGATGATGTCGAATTTATTTTAGGTATGCTATGAGTCAGAAATCTCTTCCTATAGAAGTTGTGGTTTTTACCCCTCCATATCTATACTATGGTGTTACAGATGTTAGGACGAAATTCTGACAACTGATATTTGCCAGTGCATTACTGTTCTGTTGAGGGATTTTCTATTTTATGGTTATTGACACTTTAATGCTTTTCTGTTTCTTTTATTCCTTTGTGATTCAAAGGCAAGGTCGAAGATGCAAGCCTAGTTCAAACAGTTCTTTTCAGTGCCACTTTGCCAGTCTGGGTGAAGCATGTACGTAGTTGTACCTTTTGTTTTTGAATTCACAATACAGTATCCTGTACTGGGGAATATTTCATGCAATTTTTTATTTAATATCAGTTCAATTGTTCTCTACCTAAGGCTTGATAAACAAATTACCTTGAGGTTGGAAATTAGAGGGCAGGTGCCGTGTGCAACTGCTGTGCTCTTAGCTTGCACTTCTTTCTCTCTTACTGAAACATGTTTTTGGTGCCAGATTGCTTCTAAGTTTCTGAAACCAGATAAGAAAACGGCTGACCTTGTTGGTAATGAGAAAATGAAGGCCAGTAAAAATGTGAGGCATATTATTATTCCATGCTCTAGTTCTGCAAGACCTCAGCTTATTCCTGATATCATTCGGTGCTACGGCAGGTTGGTTGCTTCTCATTTTCCAGTGTCTTCCATTTAAAGCATGACGTGAACCTCTGAAATGACTATAATCTTTTTGTTCCATGGAAAATTAGTGGAGGACGTACAATTATTTTTACTGAGACAAGGGCGCTGGCTTCAGAGCTAGCTGGCTTACTGCCTGGGGCAAGTGCTTTGCATGGGGAGATACAACAGAACCAGCGTGAGGTAGAATTTTCTGAAATACATGCTCTATTTTACTGTGCTCTCCTCATCATCCATCATCTTCTTTTCGGGTTCCACCCCTTCCGTATCTTCCTTACAGTGTTGATTATACAAATATGCAGTATTTGTCATCAACCTTCTACACTCATTAACAAATTGATAATTATGTGTAGCTAAGTCGAGTCTCGTAGAAACAACTAACAACCCTTTATCATTTTCACATGTTCTCAGGCTACACTTAAAGGATTCAGATCAGGCAAATTCATGACATTAGTGGCCACAAATGTGGCAGCCCGTGGATTGGATATCGATGATGTTCAGTTAATTATCCAGGTTTTGTTACAACGTTCATGTTCCATGCTTGATTCTTAAACTTTATTGGTATTTGAGTGCTGATTGTGATTAATATTTCTGTGCGTAAAGTGCGAAGCCACTAGTGACGTGGAAGCATACATTCATCGATCTGGAAGGACAGGACGGGCTGGTGAGTTTCTAATGTTGGGATTGCTTTCATTGGCTTACATAAATTAGGGAGCATTGTTAGTAACTTTATTTTTCCGTCACATTCCAGGAAAGAGTGGCGTTGCTGTAATGCTGTATGATCCAAGGAAGTCAAACATTTCTAGAATCGAAAAAGAATCTGGTGTGACCTTTGAGCATTTGTCTGCTCCTCAGCCAGCTGATGTTGCCAAGGCAGCTGGGAAAGAAGCTGCTGATATAATTGCGGGTATTTCTGATAGGTATGGTTTCATTTGTGCCTGGTTAATTTTGAAATGTATCATTTTATTAATTTTCATTTCAACTATGTATAGTGTCATACCTGTATTTAAGGCTGCTGCAGAGGAGCTTCTGAATACTTCTGACCTATCACCAGCAGAATTACTTGCGAAAGCTCTTGCCAAGGCTGCTGTATGTTTCTGTTGTCTTATTTATTCTCTCTGGGAGGCAAACCTCCTTATCTTACTGTTGACTATCTTGTGTCTTGCTTTCCAGGGCTATTCTGAGATCAAGACTCGATCGCTTCTTACTTCTATGGAGAACTGTGTTACTCTGCTTCTCGAGTGTGGGAGACCCATCTTCTCACCTTCGTGAGTATTTAAAATTTGAAATATGATGTTTATCGAATTGCAAGTATGAATTGTGGCTAGTGCATTTCAATGGCTCAAATTGTGTGTGTTTGGTATTGAAGGAAAATGTTTGCTTGGAGAATGTTTTTCACGAAAATAAGGGTTTCTTACTAATTTTTATGTTTGGTACCTAAGCAGCAAGTATTATCCTAAAAACTTCTGACATAATCTAGACAAATATTATTGGGGTCTGTGGGGTGGTGCACATGGGGCTACAGGCATGTCACTTGGGAAACTTGTTTTTCCTACTTCCACTAGGGAAAGTCATTTTCCACATTTTTAAGAAACTTGTTTTCCTGGACAAATGTTTCCCAAAATTTTCGACCAACTGAACTTGGAAAAATTGGAAAATGTTTTCTTCCATGTTGAACTTCATCTAAGCATATCCACAAGAAAACTCTAAACACATCTTCTGAATTCGCAAGCAAGGATGTAGGCAGGGAACCATGTTCGTAGTCTCAGATCAGTGTTTCTACCCATTTATATAAAATTAGCTACAAAATGAAGTTGGTACAATAATTACACTAAATGGATTCATGAAGGGTAAGTTTCTCATTGTTCCCTATTGGAAGTAGTGAATTACATTACAGGTTTCCAGCATCTTGCATCAGAGATCCGTTATGCTAAGTAGTGCTTTTAATTTACATCAAACTGACCTTAATTTATTTTGAGACATGATGAAGCTGATTGTCTAGGAGTCTTATAAACTGTTGTCGTGCTCAGTCCAATAATTCTGATTTTGTTACCTGTTATGTCAATGGCAGCTTTGTCTATAGTTTCCTGAGGAGGTTCTTGCCTGAGGAGAAGGTTGAATCAATCAATGGTCTTACTTTGACAGCTGATGGAAAGGGGGCAGTTTTTGATGTTGCTGCTGAGCACTTGGATGAATTTCTCTCAGGTATAGTGCTCCATATTTCTGCAGATGATTCAATGAATATGTCACATTATAATCACTCAACAGTAGTGGTATAATTTGTCATTAGAGTTTGTTCACTTCATTTTTTTTCATGTTTCTGTTTAGGCAGGGTAGATCTGCCTAGTTGCTATATTTGATTGTTGTAGCTTTTCTAATGTCTGCTTCTCCCTTTGTCTTTTCCTGTGGGATTTTCAGGCCAAAAAACTGCACATGGGGTAAATATAGAGGTTGTGGAAGCGCTGCCTCCTTTGCAAGAGAGAGAGAAGCCAAGAGGTGGAAGATTTGGAGGTGGTGGCCGTGGCGGCGGCTTCGGTAACAGAAGAGGCGGAGGTGGCTTTTCTGGAGGAAGAGGGGGGAGAGGTAATGGCAACTTTGGTCGCAGATGGTAAGGAATGGCGACATAATTTTTTTGATAGCTGACAATACAAGAGTTTGTCCAAGGCTGCGTTCAAAATTTTGGTATAGTGAAGAAAATGTATGGGACTTCAGTAAGGTTTCTTCTGTATTAATTTTACTAATTTATATAGGTTTCTCCTCCCTGTACCCTGCTTCATTATGCTTTTCGCTAGTTAGCTTTCTTGTAGTGTTCTTCCATGTTTTACTATATTTTTGGTTAGACACTTGAAAAGTTATTATTTATTTTGTATGGTATTGTTACCTGAAGAAATCATATTCAATTCAAGTTCAATTTACTATATGTTTGGTTACACACTTAAAAAGTTATTATTTATTTTGTATGGTATTGTTACCTGAAGAAATCATATTCAATTCAACTTCAATTTATATGGAACGTTTGATTCTACACCAGTTTAATTTTCTTGCTTTAGACCTAACTTAGCTCCTTTACTCCCATGTTTCTTGCATCCGCTACTTGATTTGCCTCGCGATAATAATAGTACAATTGATTCTTTGGGCAATATTGATGATTTTATTCTAGTGGGATTTATGTAGTCTTATGGTCTTTAAGCATGTACAACTAAATATTGAAATTAAACTGTCGCTAAAAAAAAAAAAGGGGAGGGAGTTGGAGGTGAGGGATCATTCTTCTTAAAACAAACTAAAAAGGAAGTGGGTACACTCAATTACGAATTCAAAAATTTCATTAAAGGGCGCTAATGGGATTAGTAAAAATAAATAAATTATGAGGCCATCGGGGTTAGAAGTTAGAACGCACAACTTAAGGAAATTTTTGCAACCCCTTGACCAGTAGATTAAGGGGAGTCCGGAACTCAAAGGGTAGAAAATATTAACAAAAATTTCAAAACGGTATATAAAATTTTATATAAACCAAAACGGTAAAATCGCTGCCGACGCAGCGATTTACTTCAACTGAAAAAGTAAAATTGCTGCTAAGGCAGCGATTTTGCCAAATTTTTTTTTTTAATAAAAAAATGAAGCAGCGATTTCAAAATGTTTCTTCTTACAAATCGCTGCCAGGGCAGTGATTTAACATTATTTTCTAATTTTCTTTTTTTTTTAAAAATAAGGTATATCGCTGCTCTAGCAGCGATTTATGAAGAATTTTTTTTTTAAAAATCGCTGCCAGTGCAGCGATTTATAAAAAAAATATATATTTTTCAATATAAATCGCTGCCTTAGCAGCGATTTATAAAAAAAAAATTTTTTTTGATATAAATCGCTGCTCTCTAGCAGAGATTTACAAAAATAAAAAATTTTTGTTATTAAATCGCTGAGCAATTTTTTAAATAAATTTTTTTTTAAAAAATGTTAACTTATGTTTATAATTTATAAGAAAATATACATTATTTTTAAAAAATTAAAAATAAGTAAATATATTTTCTTTCTAAAAAAAAGATATTATATTGAATTTAAATTTAAATAATATTTGAATTCAAATAATTAATTTTTTTAAATAAAAAATTAAATGAGAAAAATTATTTAATTTTTTTTAAAACAAAATTATATACTTTTATATATATATATATATATATATAAAGTGAAAAGGATCACATGACAATAGTAAAATTTGTTTTTTTATCGTAAATAGTTGAAGAAGTTCACATGTAAATAGTACATGAGACTTTCAATTCTATAAATTGGAACTTATCCTTCATATTCATATTACTTTCAATCTTCCAATCTACCAACAATTTTAGGTAAAAACATTTGAATATTATGGGAGAGTCTAGCCAAAATTTCAGTCATTTGAATTGTTTCTCATCGGATTCAACTAATAGGTAAATAAAGTAATGTTTTCTTATTTCTTAAAAATTATTTTTCTTATATGTAATATATTTATATTATTATTTTTATAGGTATGATCAAATTCAAAATGCAGTGAGTTATTGTACACAAATTGTAAATAATAATGTTATGGGTGATGAACGAGTTGGTGAGTTGCACAATGATGAACCTTCCGAGCATGAATTAACAGACAGTGATGATATGTATGACGGCGATGATTATAATGTGGATAATGCACCTAATGCATCCATTGAAGATCAAAGTATTAATTATCATTCTACAGCGATTCCATACTTAGATCACACTAACGAAAATGCAGAAGATTTTATGTACACGAGAGATGACGGTTCCATTTGAACGGCACTTTGGAATTCAAACAATCCTAAACATATCCAGTCAGGTTCGATTGTTGAAAACTAAATATTTTATAGTTGTTTATTTATTTATTTATTGCATGTTGATTAATTTAATTTGTATATGCAACTAGGTATGTTATTTATGAATAAGATGCAAATGAAATCTGCAGTAAGAGCATATAGTCTTGCTATTAAAAAAGAATTTCTTTGTGATCAATCCAAAAGTAAAAGTTGGAAAGTTATTTGCAAGCGTCATGAGTTAGGGTGTGATTGGATGATTCGGTTTAGAGAGATTTCAAGCGGTATATGGAAGACAGGAAAAATGATTGAACCGCATACTTGTCTTACAGATAACTATAAGGAGGATCATTTCAATTTGAATGATAACATGATTGCCACTTCATTAATACCATATGTTATGCAAAATTCGGACATAAATATTAAGATGATCCGTGAAATTATCAAAGGAAAGCATCACTATACTCCTAGTTACAGAAAAGCACAAAAAGGTCGAAGAAAAGTATTTCGAATGGTTTATGGTGATTTTGAAAGTTCATTTAAGGCATTACCTCGATACATGGCTGCACTACAATTATTCAATCCAAGCACTATTATTGAGTGGGAGCATCATTCTACAACAATGCAAGGTGAGCAAATTTTTAAATTTCTTTTTTGGGCTTTTAAACAGAGCATTGATGGTTTCAAAAGTTGTAGGCCGGTCATTTCTATCGACGGCACACATCTTTATGGTTTGTATGATATCAAATTGTTAATTGCGGTTGGAATTGATGCGAATGGAAATATTTTTCCACTTGCATATGCTTTAGTTGCACGTGAGAGTTTTGAGTCTTGGTCATGGTTTCTCAAGTTATTATGGACACATGTAGTTTGTGAACGACAAGGAATTGGTCTTATTTCTGACTGTCATCAAGGAATCTTGCAGTGCGTTCAATCTTATGATTGGTTGAGTCCACCCAACACATATCATAGATTTTGTGTTCGGCACTTAAAAGCAAATTTTAATAAAAAATTTGTAAATAGTGAACTCGAAAATCTAATGTGGTTGGCTGCTACTGAGCATCAGGAGAAAAAGTTTATGCAACGGATGCAACAAATCAAAACATTGTCTCCTGCAGCATATGAATGGTTAAATGAATTTCCTTTGGAAAAATGGACGATGTATAAGGATGGTGATCGTAGATGGGGTGCCATGACGACAAATGTGTCTGAGTCATATAATGGTTTATTGAAAAAAGCTCGGGGGCTTCCTGTGACTGCCATGGTTCGAATGACGTTCAAAGCTCTCGTTGATCGTTTTGTCGAAAGAAACAATCTTGCAATTGCATTACTTCAAAGTAATATGCAATGGCCACTTGCGATAGATAAAAAATTTAATGATTATTATCAAAGAGCTCAAGGGCACACAGATATGATGACTTACAACACAGGTGATGGAGTTTTTGAAATTCTTACTTTTGCTCATGATGGTAAAGGTGGAAATGTCCACAAGGTTACTGCAAAAGGTAAGAAATGTTCTTGTGGAAAATGGAGAAACTATCATATGCCTTGTTCGCATGCCATCAAATTTTGTGGACTTCGCGGAATCGAGCCAAAATCTTATGTAAGTAAATTTTACAGTGCAAAATATTACAAACGAACATACAGTGAGACATTTAATCCAGTGGGTGATGAAATGTATTGGCCACCAGCTCCTTTTAATTTAATTGCAAATACTGAATATTTGCAGACAAGTGGTACGCAAGGAAGAAGCCGACTTAAGAATGATATGGATATAGCTCCGGCTCGCATGACTAGAAAATGTAGTGTTTGTAAGGAGACAGGTCACACAAAGGCACGATGTCCTACTCGATTTTAAATATTTTGTATATGTTTTTAAGGTTAATGTGTTTTTATTATCTTGTTATTAATATTATGATATATCTTTTATATTTATTTGTTGACATGAATTTAATTTGTCTTGTGCATTTTAAATATTGTACGTAAAAAATAATGATTTTATCTAATATAAAAAGTATTGATTTGACCTAACATAAAAAGTATTGATTTGACTAATGATAAAAAAAAAGTAAATCCTGCAAACTTGTTCAAACATACAAAAATGTTGACAAAAAGTATTGATTTGAGATAAAAAAAAAGTAAATCCTGCAAACTTGTTCAAACATACAAAAATGTTAATAAAAAGTATTGATTTGACATATGATATATCTTTTATATATATTTGTTAACATGAATTTAATTTGTCTTGTGCATTTTAAATATTGTACGTATAATATCTTTACATTATTATTATATTACTGATTTGAACTCTATTAAAAAATAATGATTTGACCTAATATAAAAAGTATTGATTTGACATAACATAAAAAGTATTGATTTGACCTATTACAAAAAGAAAAGTAAATCCTGCAAACTTGTTCAAACATAATCTCATTACTTTGTTCAAACTTGCACGAAACAACAAAATTTACATATTTCAAAATTCGAATCTTCAGCCTTTTAGAATAAAGGTGCATAAAAAAAATTATTCTTCTGAATCAGAATCTTCTACATCTTCATTCTCATCTTCATTTTCATCTTCATTTTCAAAATCTTCCTCATTTTGATTGTGACTGCCTGTTCCACATCTAGTTGATTTGTGTAGCCTAGATGTTCTCCGAGGTGGATTTTGTCTATTAAGAACTAAATTTTGTGAAGCCCCAGCATTAAATCTTGAATCATCAAACGCAGTTACCTATAATACAATATAACATAATATAATCAAATAAACATGCAATAAAAATAAAAAAAAATATAAAAAGTTAAAAAAATTATATGAAAATAATTATACTTACATTCGAAAAATTCAATCTTCCACCAAATGGAGAATTATGTATCGGAAATTCACGCATACCATGTTGAAAACCATATTGAGAACCACTAAATTGTGCAAACCCAGATATTGGAACCTGCGGAGTTACAAAACCAACTGTTTGCTGACTAGAAAAATTCGGATTAGTGTTAGAGGGCCCTACAGAAAAATCAAATGTGGGATAATAAGGCTCGGGAGTCGCCACATTAGTGTTAGAGGGCCCTGCAGAAAAATCAGTTGTTTCACTAGTGATCCTTCTACCTCGACGAGCACCCTCTCTCGGTGTTGTTTGTCGTGATCGGCGAGATACTTGTACTGGTGGTGGTTCATCGTATTGAGTGGGAGGATTGTAATCATGATCAAAGCTCAATCGCGTTCCCTGAAAGGCCGCATTCATTGACTCCATTGAAATACGAGCGACTTCCGCTGCATATTGTCTCATTTCATTAGATTGATTTTCATCATTTTCAATCATCCGAGCTCGACGATACTGCATTTCATGACCCCTAGCCTATAATGAATAAACAAATATTAATAAAAAAAATTTATTAAAGATTGACATAATAATTTGAAATTTATGTAATATACATACTAATGCCTCATGTCTTCCTGCCATGTGTTGATACCCTTTTTGTACAACATGTTGTGGATTTCCAATGACCATGCGGGTATGCCTCATGTACCAACGGAAGTAATCTATTTGATCACTTACAAATGGAGGTCGAAATATACGATTTTGACGTTGTTCCCATAAATATTGTGTATAGTTAAATGCATCTATATCTTCTTGTTTTATTTTTGATCGTTTATCACGCTTAAAATGATATTCGGAAAATTGGGTACACGGTCCAGGAATATGTTGTAAATAACCGAACTGTCTCACAACACGATCAACCATGTGCCACTCACGATAAATTCCATAAATCAGTGGCACCTGTGCCATCCAGACACGTTGTCCTGACCGACACCACTCAGGCAATCCATTAATAACATCTTCCGAATAAGGCTGCCAAATAAACTATAAAAAAATAATTAAGTAAGATAATTATAAAAACAACATTGGCAGAAAAAAATATATTCTTATTTAAAATAAAATAAAATATGAAAAGTATAAGATACTAATAATATTAAATACCTGTTCATCAGTTAGATTATCAAGTACATCCCTAATCACACCGATTACAGTTCGTGCCTCATTTTGATGATTTCTACGTCGCGTCCATTTACGTGCAAGTGCAGTTAAAGCCTCAAATTGATTGGTTCTTAGAGGCTTTGGCAATGGTTGCAGGGGAATAATTCTTTTCCATGCCCAAATCTACAATAAATAAATTCACCATTACTTATAATGCACTTAAATTTAAAAGTGCATATTACTAGTATATAAAAAATATTTAATCAAAAAATATGTATACCTGCACTAAAGAGAGAAATCCACAAACTTCATTTGATTTTTTCATTGACGCACGGCATAAACAATTATACAAATATGATAATGCGGCCGATCCCCATGCTTGAGTTGACATTAAATCTAAATTTCTCATGTCAATCAAAATGTCCAAATTAATCTTATTATTAGATTTATCCGGAAATATTGATCCACCACATAACCATAATAAATATAATCTAAATCTTTGTTGAACTTCATGCTCAGTTGAGTTATCGTTAATAACTTCCAAACCTTCGATATACTCAATCAATTTATATGTTGACAATCTACTAACACCAGAAAAACAACTAGTATCGGGTAACCATCCTGTTAATTGAAAAATCATTTCTTGTCTACCTATAATCCTTAAAGAATCAGCTCCATTTAAAATTATAGGACTACCATCTACTACCATTCCGAATAAAATTTCAATATCTTGTAAAGTTATGGTAGCCTCGCCAGTTCGCATGTGAAAAGTATGAGTTTCCGGACGCCACCTTTCAATTAAAGCAGAAATTAATCCGGAGTCATACGGCACACATCCAACATCAAGAATTCCTTTAAATCTACAATTTTCAAAATATTGAAGGATGCGAGAATGTAATGGATGATATTTTAAATGTTGCCAAAATTCAATATCACCACGACTCGTATATAAGCAACATCTCTCTTCTTTTATGCTACCATTCCAAATTCCTTCGGAACGATGATAAACTTGAATTTTTAATACATCATGCTCTACTGGACCAGGATGTACGTATAAATTTGATGGATCCATATCTATACACAAAAAATAAAAATAAAAATTAACATTAATATAAGTATCAAACGATTGAATATATCAACAATATCATATAAAAGTATAAAATTAATTAAAATAAATTAAAAATAAAATAAATTTAAACTCACCTTATAAAGAAAATGCTTTGAAAAACTTTAGAAAATTTGAAGAATAACAAGAATTTTAAGATTGTGGAAGATTGAAAGTAGATTGGATTGGAAGATTGAAAGATTGAACTACCAATTTATAGAATTCAAAGTATGAAAAATTGAAGTACCAATTTATAGAATTCAAAGTATGATGTACTATTTACATGTGAATATTTTTTTCAAAACTTACAATAAAAACAAAGGTTTACTATTGTGATGTCATCCACTTTAACTTGTGAAAATTTTCTTCAAATTATACAATAAAAACAAAAAATTTTACTATTGTCATGTGATCCTTTTCACTTTATATATATATATATATATATATAAAAGTATATAATTTTGTTTTAAAAAAAATTAAATAATTTTTCTCATTTAATTTTTTATTTAAAAAAATTAATTATTTGAATTCAAATATTATTTAAATTTAAATTCAATATAATATCTTTTTTTAGAAAGAAAATATATTTACTTATTTTTAATTTTTTAAAAATAATGTATATTTTCTTATAAATTATATACATAAGTTAACATTTTTAAAAATTTTTTTTATTTAAAAAATTGCTCAGCGTTTTAATAACAAAAAAAATTTTTTTTAAAAATAAATCGCTGCCTAGGCAGCGATTTACCTTATTTTTTTTTAAAAAAAGAAAATTAAAAAATAATGTTAAATCGCTGCCCTGGCAGCGATTTGTAAGAAGAAACATTTTGAAATCGCTGCTTGAGCAGCGATTTCATTTTTTTATTAAAAAAATTTTTTTTTGGCAAAATCGCTGCCTCAGCAGCGATTTTACTTTTTCAGTTGAAGTAAATCGCTGCGTCGGCAGCGATTTTACCGTTTTGATTTATATAAAATTTTATATACCGTTTTGGAATTTTTGTTAATATTTTCTACCCTTTGAGTTTCGGACTCAGATTAAGGGTGTGTTTGGTTAAAAAATGTTTTTCAAACTCTCTCCTATTTGGTTGATTTAAATATTTTCTAAATTAATTTATTCTCGTCAAATTTAAGAATAACGACCCCCCTTGAAAAATTAAAAAAAAAGTATTCTTCAAAACTGTCCTACAACCTCAAATTACAATTATTTTCTTACCCTATCCATACTCAAACCTCTCCATTCAAAAAATAAAATAAAATAAAATAAATTAATTATTAAAAATTCCCTTTTTTCAAAAAAAAAAAAATAAAATCTATTCATTTTGTCTCTATCCTGCTCCCAACCCTCAAACTAGCCCTTCCCCCAACCAAAATAAAATTAGCAACTTAAATTTTATTTTTGAAAAATAGTTTAAATTTTATAATTTTCAATTTCTTTTTACCCCACGCGACCCTTGACTGTTCTTTAACCCACACCTACCCAACCCCTATGAGCCCCCCACCCCCAAAAGAAAATTTAAAACATTCCTTTTAAGGAAATTTTTTCAATTCAACTTTTTAGTTATTTACCCCACCCCGACTCCCCTACCAGCCCCCTCGCAGTTTGTTTTTGAAAAATATTTTAAATTATAAAAAATATTTTTTACACCCCTCTCTTTACCACGATCCCCTACAGCCCACTTCCCCCACACACAAAAGAAAATTGCAATTTATCTTTTTTTTTTAAAAAAATAAATCTTAATTTGAAAGTTAGGTCCTAAGTCGGGTATGGTTGGATTCCGATTCAAAAGTTAAGGTCAAAATTTCGATTTGAAAGTTGAGAATTGGGTCTCCCATCGATAATTGGTTGCATGGATTGAATCCTGATTCGGTAGTCAGGTCTCGATTTGAGTGTCGAAGTTGAAATTTGGATTTGATCGATCGTGTTCAACTTCAGTTGTCAGGGTCAGCACCTGGGTCGAATATCTGTTCCTAATTCGAATGTCGAATTTTGGGTCTCGGGTCGAAAGTTGGGATTAGGTCTTGGGTCAAATTTCAGGGTCGGATTTCAGATATATCGTTGGGTTATGTCCTAGATCGATAATTAAGATTGGTTTTTGGTTCAAAATTATTCTCTACTTTCTAATAAAAAATAAAAGATATTTTCTTTCAAATGTTTTTCATTCACAAACCGAATTCTAAAAGATATTTTCCAAAAAATATTTTGTATTTACCAACCAAATATAAGAAAATAAGTCAGAAATTCACTTGTTTTTTAGGAAAACATTTTCTTTCGCACCAATATAATTTACAATGTAATTTACGGACGAACGGGTATCATTTAACACCCTTGGCCAAGGGTAGGTCTGTCCCGGGGATATATTATATATCTTAATCTTAATTTTTCAAATTGCATCAATAAAATTGAACAACTATTTTTAATATATTGAACAAGTAAAAATGAAGAGATATTTTATAAATAACGATATATACCTATTTTTAGCGGAATAAAACAAGTAATAGTTGGACAGGGGAGTAATATAATATTGAATAGTCCTCCAAATAAAATATAAAAAATAATTGGGGAGAGAGAGTGAGTTGAGTTGCTTGAATCTTGTGTTTATGGTGAAGAAGATAATATTGAAGGGTATCCACAATCCCAACAACCATATCTTCTTCCATTAAGACTAAATATTAGAGATCACACCTTCCTCAGTTGACTTTGGTTATTGAGTGATGTTTTCTTTACAGCAAAGTGATGATAAATGAGTTGGCATTTTAAGATTCTCTTAAATCCTTGCCAACAACACCAAATCTCCCAAGATCTCATTGTGAATTATGCTAGCTAAATCATGTTAAAATTATTCCAAAGCAAAAGAGTCTACTAGGTACAAATAATTCACATAAAGTTATATTGATTTGAAGCTTAAGGAAATTATCCATAGAGTTTTGGAAGGCATGGAAAATATTGAATTAGGTATGGACTTTATCGATAATGTCCGGTTAATAATTAATCCTCTTAGCTAAATAGATTTTCTAATATGAGATTAACATGAAGTTTTTGTTGTTTAGATACTAAATTTTGTGTGTAGTTAATTCCTTATTTTCTAGTAATGTTTGAAATTAAGGATTTAATAGGGTATGAGTGAGTTAGAAAGAAAGAATAACTCAAGTAATAAACCAAAATGGTAGTACTCTATCCCAACAATTAATAATATTGTGTGACAGGTGAGTCCATGTCAAGGCGGTGTAGATATTTTAATCAATGCAAAAGGAAATAATTTAGCCCTCTCCAGAGTGATACAACAACTAATTAATGAGACAAGTTATTGATGTTGTTACTTGCGTTTCTGCTAATGTCAATCAAAACTCTCTCCATTAAATTCAATCCGAGGTATGTGCGTTCATACTCCACCTCTATCTACTCTGATATCATATATGCATACATCTTTTAACTGTATGTCCATTGTCTCATTAAAATCACTCTGCTGTTAGGTACGTGATACTAAATGTATCAATGTTCATGCACTGCAAAGAAAGTTGATTGATATAATCAAACATTGATTTGGAGGCTCTTAAGTGGAAATCATGCTAGGTGTAAGTAATCATTAAGACCGTCTTTCCCTCTTATCTCGAATGATATTATGTGATATTAGTTACTACTTATTAATTCAATAAAAGAGGTTAGGAAACATAAAATTCTTTTATGTACTTTATAATTAAGCTAATAAAAATAATGGTGGTTTTGAGCATAATACTATATATATATATAACTTGCAAGAGATCAATGATGAAGATATATCCACGTGAAGAGTCTCATATCGGTCCTTGAAAAAATTTAGATAATTCTCATCTCTTGATCAACTACCTTTTGAGATTTACTTAGACTTTTTGATCCATTTGGTTAAGGAGTAATATATTTGTGATCACTTCATGATGTAGTTGCGGATCATCATGATGGGATATATAGAATGAGAAATGGATCTTTTGACATCCTTATGTCATAGGAAAAGATGACAAATCTTTGCATGTGGAGTACTATATGCATATATAGTGTAATACTAAATGTTGCATGTTTTGCTGGAATAAAAGGTCTCATCTCTCTGACATACATATTAGAATATAGATGGTCGTAGAAATATATGTAGAAGTCTCACATCTAGGATTAGAGAAATCAAGGATGCATTGATAGGTTGATCAATATTGATATATTGATATGTTGATCAATATTGATAGTATTGATCTATTGATCAATAAGATGTTATTGATATGTGATTAATTATTGATGAATAATAGTGTTAATAGTGTTAAGCACATACTCCTTATATAGGAGAGAATTGTAGAGTTTAACTATATTTAGAGTTCTACTACAATACTTATTACTATTATAATAATAAAATAATTAAATCCTAATTATGCTATAATTCTAATAGTAATCTAATCCTAATCATAATATAATTCTATTCATAATTTAATTATAGTGAAAACATAATCCTAATAAAAATAATTAGTCTAATCCTAATGCGACTCTAATTATTCAGCAGTGTTGTAACTCGTCAGTCAGCTACGTTGGATTGTTCCTTCGACATGTTCCAATCCTCAACTTTCTTCTTCATTAACAGAGGTTTTGACCAAACTAAGCCATTATATAAAGTCATTCACCAAAATAATATGTTTTTCTAAAATTTTACAAAACTAATATAAACGTATTCCACAGTAACGTTTTAGGATATATTTTATTTTTAAAAAATTGATGGCGTCAGATTGATATACGTTACTTACAGTAACGTTTTACTCCTAAAATGTTACTCATAGTAACGTTTTACTCCTAAAATGTTACTTATAGTAACGTTTTAGGAGCAAAACGTTACTGAAAATAACGTTTTAGGAGTGAAACGTTACTTACAGTAACGTATATCAACCTAATGCTGTTAGTTTTTTAAAAATAAAATATACCCTAAAACGTTACCGTGAAATACGTTTATACTAGTTTTGTAAAATTTTGGAAAAATGTATTACTTTGGTAAATTGTTTTATATAATGGCTTAGTTTGGTTAAAAATTCTCATTAACACTTGTTGTAGACAAGTCAGTCAACTGTTGTACCCGTTCCTTTGACATGTTCCAATCGTTAGTTTCCTTCTTCTTCAACAATGGTAAAGTCATATGCCTAACTAATTCCGAATTGTTTGAAAACATAAATGCACATGCTCAGAAAATACTTTAAGGGATCATTTGTTGCTGGTTAGTTAGAGTTACACAAGTATTTCTAATGTAAGATTGAATTTGTTATATATATATATATATATATATATATATAAGTTATTCGTATATTAATTATTCTATTTTCTATTTTTTTTTTAATAAGCCATCACCTTAAGGTTGTGAGCCTTTGGTGTAGGGGTTAGAATTAGCCCCTAACATGTCGATGTATAACAAAAAGTTACAAGAGGTTACCTCTATCCTCTCACCGGAACTAGTACTAAGAGTAACACCAAAAAAGTTGATGAGAAGGAGTAGCCTATACAAGATCTTCTCACTGTCACCTTTGCCTTGTAACCGGCTATCTGAATGTGAAGGAGGAGGAGAGGTAGAGGAGTGGCCTTAAGTCAGTCCATTTTCTGTCCAACATAAAATAGTACATAGATTCCTTCATAACTTATACAATAATATATTGTATTAGCTAGTTATATATGAAGGATTATAACATATTGCTAACAAAACATTATAGGTGCGTTGAATTTTACACATAACAAAAGGCTAACTGCTACATACCATATACGATACAGGATTTAATACATGTATAAATCACCTCCTAGCTAGATAACAATAATATGGTGATGGCTGATGAGAATCAGAGACATCTTTTCTGATGAGATCTTTGCTTTTTGTTTGTTCTCCTTAATCCCATGCATTGCCTCATTCATCCGGTCAAATTGCAATTTGTTTTCCAAAAAATATGTTTAAGTTATGGACTTTAAAAACTCATATTTAGTTATTTACCATATCTTATTATTCTTCTCACTTGTATTTTTGGCTTTGGCATAAACACAAAAGTGTGAGTATATTTGCAAGAATGTGGAGAGAGTACCCTCGTAAATTTTATCATGTTAAAACAAATTACAAAAGTAATAGTTGTAGTTTTTCTATTTTTTCTTTGTAAATAATTGAAAATGGATCTTTTCCTGATTTGGCAAGAAATTATATATGGTGTAAATCATTAAAAGAAAAAAGTAGATTGACTTATTTTGTCGAATGTTTGAAGAGTTGTTGACATATTTATCAAAATTTCTGCATTTTTAAAAATTAAAATTAACAAAAGAAAGTAATTCATGCCCAATCCAGAGTGAAGAATTGCAAAAGTCATATTAAGAAGACCAAACATCCCTTAAACATCCTATGTGGACTCTTCAACACTTCTCAAAGTTACTATTTGTAATGTATGATCCAATTATTATATTATTGTTGCAAACAAGATAAATCATATGCCACAATATATAGTAATATTCCTATGTTTTGACAAATCTTATGTTTCTGTTTATTTGCGGGAAATGATGATTTATAAGTTCATTAATTGGGTTTAAATGAAAGTCAAAAGTGAACCTATGCAAATTAGTTTGTTGAGGAAATGACCTAGCTAATTATGACAAAAGTGAACAATCCGATCCTATGCTATTTTAAGGTTTACAGTTTAGACTGTGTTGACCATTCATTATCAGTTCATTGAGATGGGAAACGTCCAATTTAGTACGAGCCGAGCCTAGTTTTTTGTTATTTGGGCTAGACACCGTGTGAATTTTTTTTAACAATAAACGGGGATGATAATTTAATCTAACATATGTGAGTAGACACTAAAGTCTTATTGATAAGTTTATATTAAATTTGAATTAAATTTTAAATTCATGATATGTTAATCAAGTCAAATTATTGGTTTTTAAAGTTGAATTAACATTTAAGTCAAAATTATGACTTAAATCAAGTTTAAATTACGTTGGATCAATTTATTAAGTTGACAAGACGAACCCAACCCATTTTCTTCAATCCCAGGGGCCAAAATTGCTTGGACCAAAATTCCTTAAAATCCTAACTCAAGCATATATAAGACACATAAATACATAGAAAATCCTTGCTATTCAGTGGTGATTTACTCTTCCACAAACAGAGAAGTTTTCACTCCAAATCTTGAACCCCATCAAATTGAAAACAACCGTGAAGAGAAGAATCAACAACAATCGTGAAGAAAAAAATCAGGGGATCACATATGTTTTCCTAAAGATTTCATAAAACTTGTAACATTTGCATAAATTCAAATACTGTTATTTGTTTGCTATTTTTCTTTCTTGTTTGCTTTATTTCTAGGACAAACTTTAGTCACATACAATGTGTGTGTACACTCTGATTATGTATTAAATTATATTTGATATGTGTCTACTCTGATTATTATTAAATTGAATATGTGTCTACTCTAATTATTATTGAATTGTGTCTTTGATGTTGATGGTGAAACAAATAAAGGGTGAAAAACCGACAAAGAATGCAGTACGTACTGCTTTGATGTTAATGGTGAAACAAAGAAAAGATTGCCCTGTTCTTTGGTTCCTTGTCAATCAAAGGCCAGTAATGACAAGGAAACTTCACATTTACAAGTCAACTTCATTGCTTTAATTCTAAAAAGTACTCCCTCTGATACTTGTTGCAATTTTTTAAAAGTTTAACAAAGAATTAAATTTTAGAATTTAAAGTTTATAATCTAAAATGATTGTTTATAACTTTATGTGACTATAAACAATTTCATTATAGATAAAATGAACATTTTAAAATTAAATTATTAAATGTGATAGTATTATTTTTGGGACACATCAAAAAGAAAAATCGAGTCATAATATAAATTAGCACAAATATATTATTTAGAAAATCAAGATATTTTTTGATAAATATAAAGAAAAATTAATGTGGTTAAAAGAAAAGTAGTATTAAATTAAAATAAAGATAATTTGAGAAGTCTGACCCTACGCAAATCTTACAAATATTAATAAATTTATGACTAATTGAATTATTGTTTTATTAATATTTATTGACAAGTATAATAGATGAGTAGCGACTTCTACGGTGAGTTAGTCAAAAATGATGAGCAATTTACAGCGAGGTAATTGTAAATCATAAATGCCAACTGGAAGAAAGAGGGGACTACTTTTACTTTTTGGTTCTATGTTTTAAAGATTCACATAGAATACAAGCATCAAATTGACATAAAGTCAAAACATTTTTGGAGTAATATAATTTAAGGCTTTGATGTGCTAGTAAATGTTTTTAAAAAGACTTAAGTAAATGTGTTGGGTGGCAATCCTTCTGTTAAATTATCACTTATAATCAATGACTAATTAAGTATTAACTTTATTTGAGTTTCTTTCTTTAAAGATAAATTTTTTTATGTTCCACCTCCTTTAGTTGATTCTTATCTTTCTTAAAAAACAAAAGAATATTGTTATAATAATTTTTTAAGTAATATTAATATTTGTCGATTATACTAAATCGATCTTGGAATAAAGTTCCATGGTGAATTAGCATTAAGTGCACCCTCAAAGCATGGCACAACTTAAGTTTCATAGCATGGATCACTATAATAAAAATAATTTTAGCGGCATTAAATATTGACATCAGTAGAGAGTACTGAAGTCTTTACCGACATTAGTTAAATGTCATTAGAATCAATATCGCTGAAGACTTTAAAGACATATACAAATAATACTAATTGTCACTAAAATATATATTTAGCGTAATTAAGAATTAATTGCCACAAATAATTTATTTTTTATGTACAGTGAGTACTATTCCGTAGATTAATAATCGTACAACCAAAAGGAATAATTCATCAAATTTAGGTTTTAATTTTTTTTTTGGTACACATAATTGAACAAAATACAATCTGAATAACAAGTTAATAACCACTTAAAAGGTCGATATTTTCATAGGTGAACTGTGAGCATGAAATCTTTTATCATGTTGTAGTAATGTTCGTGGGAGGAACATGAACCCAAAACTCATTTCAAATTTCACTGACATAAATTTTTATTTCTATTCTTTATTTTGGGGGTGAGCGGGTGGGAGGGGGATGAAGTTACGCGGGTTCAACCCCCTCTCCCACCACTAAGATGAGAATATATACATAATATAACTAACCAACTGAGTTGCAATTCAGTAAGTTGGATTCATATATTATATTGTTAAGCTCCAATTCAAATGATTAGGTGTGCACATAGTGTTGAGTCTGCAACATCTGAGAAATGAGTGACTTGTTTCATTATATGGCTTGGTCAACTCTTTTCTTATAAGTTAAACTTTGAAATTGAGATAGAAAATTTATTCTTTCATCATGTGTTAACTATCTTGTGATGGCATAATTAATTATCTTGGACAACTTTGTTAATAACTATCGATTATTAAAAATAACAATGGTACGTTTTAGTTTATACATTAGAAGATTTCTATATTATTCTACACTCATTAATTAGTCTAAATTATCTAAAGCTTTTTTAAACTTAAAAAAAAAAAAAAAAGAGAAAGGGGTGGAGAGTCTCCACCAATAAATAAAAAAAGAGATTGAGCTAAACTACCTTTTACATAAAGGGATACCCTTTGGGGGTTTGTACTTG